GAACAAAAGAAAAATGCAGTCAATGAGCATGTAGCCTGCTTAAGTAAATTGCATGGAATTATCAAAGTGACACTCCAACAAAAAATAAAAATTAGAAGTTTTGTATAGACTTTAGAAGGGTTAAATTTTTTTCAGGTTTTTTTTTTATTGCAATTGAGGAAATTTCCTGATGGAGGCTGTAACCCTTCTATGTCCCTACACAAACCGAAAACAGTTTTTTTTGCTGGAGTTACATGTAAAACAATACACTTCATCATGTTCAGTGACCTTTGCTCTCAATTGTCTGTTTGCATGAACAAAAAAGTCTCAAGTAATTTCTATGTTGAAACACTGTGAACAGATTCAAAGCATAGAAAAAAAAAGTGATCCCAGCCTTACCATTTTGTTAGGTTGGTAAAGCAACCACATCCATAATGAAATAACCCAACCTTCATGCTACAGCAGGGTTTCTCAACCAGGGTTCCTTCAGAGGTTGCTAGGAGTTCCTTGTCCTCAGTAAAGTTAAGGAATGGTTGGCGCCAAGAGTCTGCTAGAAAACTAGGAGTTCCTTGAGCAATGAGAAATTTCTGCCTCTCAGATAAGTTCCCATTAACACCATTGATCTTTTTAGCTATATGTAAGGGGGGAAATCTTCCCAATGACCACAAATGTTAGGAGTATTCTTCCTACTGACCATCAAACTAATGTATCATGAGTTCTAGATATAGTAACTTTTAGCAGGGGTTTCCCAAGACCGGAAAATTATTTCAAGGTCTCTATGTTGAAAAGGTTGAGAAAGGCTGTGCTACAGAGAGACGTTACTCTCTGTGCAGAAGCAGTGGCCTCTCTGCAGTGATTAGTATAGAGCTAGAGCTTTTCAATCAGCAGGGAGCTTGAGCTATGCCGAGTAGAGAGCTCTAGCTGTCATACAAAGAAAGCAGGCCAGACCTCTGCAAAGGACATGGCTTACACACAAAAGCAGGAGGTCCTTCTCTGCAGCATGACAGGAGACTGGCTATTTTATTATGGTTGTAGCTGCTTTACCAGCTAAATGAATGGTAAGACTGCAATTGCTTACTACTACTGCACATGGAATCTAATTCCAGCATTTTACAACACAGTTCAATTGGGCTATAATGAACTCCTCCTGATATCCTTCATAACATATGATGAGGGTACAGTAATATATATATATATATATATATATATATATATATATATATATATATATATATATATATATATATATATATATATATTTTGCTGTGTGGGTAAATCTTTTCACAGCCAAGCAGTACTGGGCCCCAGAGCAGCTGCATGGTCTGTTATAGCTTTGTTAGGCCTCTTTCACACGAGGCAGACTCCTACTGATCAGCAGGAGATCTGTTCACTGATCCCCTGGTGATTTGAGCAAAGGAGACAGATGACAGGTCCATGTTTGCTCAGTTTATGCAGAGTGGACATGGAAAAAGCCCACTCTGCTCTATGGAAGGCATGGTGTAAACGGACTCTGCTGTCAGTTTACACTGACTGCCCTCTGATCTGATCCACCTTGATTGACAGGAACGGATCCCCTTCTGTTTTTTTGCACACTGGAGTGGATTGGAAGTAGGTGTAGGACTTCTGTCCTTTACACCCGCCAGACCATAGGGCAAAATGGAGGGTACGATCAGGTCTCCTTGAAAAACTGACAGGCAGACAAGAACGGATTGCCTATGTGAAAGGGGCCTTACAAATCTGGGATTGGCATATCAGAAGGTACCATCACAATACTTATTGAACTGAATATTGGTTATATTGTTTTCCTTTCTGCTAGCAGACTTCTGCAAGTCAAACAAGTAGTGGACCAAAGCAGAGAACCACTAGAGCTCTCTTATAATTGTAGTTTGATTTTAGTGTCATTGAGAGCTCACAGTATGAAAATCTCAGGGCTTGGGTTGTAGCAGCTTGAGGTTCAGAAGCATAATTATGCATAATTATGGGTTTAGGTAACTGCAATCTTAAGGCTCTTTGATATGCTCTTCTTCACCTGGGAAAGTCTAAAATAAAAAGCTGAATTCTTCTTTAAGGAGGCATGACTGCCAAACACGTCAAATAAATTGAATTTTGAGGCCGTTGTCTATTGTTTGCTATTCCTCTAATTTGTAGGTCGGCAGCTACAGCAGACTATGTTATAAATGATGATTTCTCAAATACCTGCCATCCTCACGTAAAGTGACTGTCACCAAAGGATCAACACACAGAAAACATACCTGTAAAGAAGTTATAAACTTATCTTTCCTGTGGCATGTGTTGAAACCCTGCTGTGATGCTCCTCCCTGGCTGCTACATGTATTTCACCCTTGGCTCAAATAACTGCAACCCCCCACCCTCGCACAGCACAATGAGGTTCCTCCTGTCAACTTGTACATCGTAACGTATGAGCCAGGAGGAGAAACCACAGCATGCAGCAAGGGAGCAGCTATGGACACTTCCAGCATTTGGAATGCCTGCAGCAGTCAGGGAGCAGTGGCATTTATGGGCACGGGAAAGGTCAATATATATACAATTTCTTTTACAGGTATGTCTTCTTTCAATTTTGCCCCTGAAATAACAGGGTCACTTAAGTGCTCTTGGATCCCCTAGATAAAAAAAAAACCCCTAAATCTGTAATTTTCCATTTGTGAATTATCACAGTCTAGTAATTTATCAATGGCAGTGACTTTGATAGTTTTATGCCATGCTGCCCTACAGAAAAGTTGTCTTGGGAGGAGGTCTGAGTAATAGCTGCCAGTGGTGAACACAAGGCTGCAGATGACAATACAAAAGGGGTAATTAGTGTGCAATTCACCTTGAATCTCATTCTAGCTTAATTTATTTAACATCAGCATCATATATAAAACAAAGTGATAGTTTTGGCACTTTTGCATTGTTTGAAAGCAAGGCGGTCTATGCAAGGATTCCCTTTTAAACAAGTCTGTGCAATTTCAAGCACTAATCTCCTATATTTCAGCTGCTAAAATGTCAGATTTTAACAAACAGCGAAAAGGTAGCTCATAGGCCGGAATGTACTGCAGATTTGTTTAAGTCAAGTAAAAATGACACCTTAGGCATTTCATAAATCGGGGAATGCCTAATCACAAAAGGACACAAACCGGTTCTTTATATTTAAGAAAGACATACAGAATTATGAAAAAACAAACAGAAAATCTATTGCCGTAGACACAAGAACAAATAAAAGTGCTTTGTTAGGCAACTGCCAACCTCCAAAAATACATTGGGGCATATAGTTTGTAAAAGTAATACTGTAGTTGGGGCAGTTTCAATTAAAAGGCATATTTTGGAGAGACGAGAGAAAAGAACTTCCTTGCTAGCCAGGCCTTTATCAAAGTCCGTTGTACGTGGCTCAAATGTGGTAATGACTGAACAAGGTTTACCACACAAACTTTGGAGCCAATAAGAGTCTGTAACAGAGCAAATTAAGTGCTTATCCTGGCATTCTACATTTGCATCTTAGTGTTTTTACAATATAGAAAACAGGTGTCATCATTTGGAAATAAGGGCTTTATGAATTGTGTCCACCCTCATTTGTCAAAGAATAGTAAGTTCCAGTGTGTGGCAGGGCTGCTGGGGTTTTAATTTTCCTTGACAAATGGTGGACCCCTACCGAAAACATAATTTTGTTTAGAAGAGCCATTCTCAACCAGAGTTCTGTGGAACCCAAGGGTTACTCCAGAGGTTGCCAGGGGTTCCCTGAGCTGCAGCTGATTGATCTCTCATTTTCCGGTACCTTCATAATTCCAGGGCCAACATTTGGCAAAGCCAGCTGCATGACACCAACGATCTTTAAACCGTCTGTAAGGGACATTCTTTCCACTGGCCACCAATGCAACAGAGATACTTTCCACTGGCCACCAATGCAAGGGGTATTCTTCCCACTGGCCACCAATGCAAGGGGCATTCTTCCCACTGGCCACCAATGCAGGGGGCATTCTTCCCACTGGCCACCAATGCAGGGGGCATTCTTCCCACTGGCCACCAATGCAGGGGGCATTCTTCCCACTGGCCACCAATGCAAGGGGCATTCTTCCCACTGGTCGCCAATGCAAGGGGAATTCTTCCCACTGGTCGCCAATGCAAGGGGAATTCTTCCCACTGGTCGCCAATGCAAGGGGAATTCTTCCCACTGGTCGCCAATGCAAGGGGAATTCTTCCCACTGGTCGCCAATGCAAGGGGAATTCTTCCCACTGGTCGCCAATGTAAGGGGCATTCCTCCCACTGGCCACCAATGTAAGGAGCATTCCTCCCACTGGCCACCAATGCAAGGGACATTCTTCCAACTGGGCACCAATGTAAGGGGAATTCTTTACACTGGCCACCAATGTAAGGGGCATTTTTCCCAATGACCCCTCCCCCCCCACCACCTTACCCAATTAATTGGTTTTAGCAAGAGTTATATGAGAGATCAACATTATTTCAAGGGTTCCTCTGTGGTAAAAAGGCTGAGAAAGGCTGATCTAGACATGCAGACAAAATGTTTGCACAATAATTCTTGATTTAAATAATACAGGATTAAGATTAACTATTTGAATTCTCAGGCTAAAGCTGTTTGCAAACTGAAGCACCTTATCCCGTATTTCACGTACTTAGTCGTGCCTTCATACATTGCTTCAACACTCCCTACGTTCGAGAAAGTCTTTAAAAAAATACACTTAAAAAGGTGCTTAAGGAAAGAGAAGCATAAAGGGGGGGGGGGGGCTGGAAGCACTTGAAAAATTGGAATGCCTGAATGGAGTCAAATGTTCTAGACCCAGGGAAGGGAAGGAATATGGCTAGAATTAATACTGAGAATAGCGGACGTGAATATGGGCACTATGCCATCTTCACAGGACGAGACCCTACCAGCTAACTTTACGGACAAGAGACTGCAGTTATACTGATATAGGAACACACATTAAGGACCGAGGAAAAAGATTGCTAAGGTGCTACGTCTAAAATCTAAGAAACTTTCGATTTTGACCCTTCCCGCTGCAGTTGGGTCTCAGTCATCGTCCAGAGCCTCTGTCTTGATCTCTCCGGCCCCCTGCCGGGCCAGCGCCAGGATGGTGTGGTTGACTGCAGCCATTTCAACGGCCAAGGAGATTGGGTCTTGGTGGTCGCTGTGACTGGTGCTGTCATCCTAAGTATGTAAAAGGAAACAAGAGAAAAGCTAGGTAATTAAAGGGACTTTGGGAAGTGTTGCCCAGTGCCAATACAGACTACCAGCTCCTTTCCCCATTTTTTGACCTGGCAGTCACCTTAATTAGCTGTTGGTCGTGCTAGCTAAACCGCTATGGTTGGGAGCACCATCATCTTCTGCATAGCCCTGAAAATGAGCCAAAGAACATTCACCATCCAGCCAACCGCAGTTTTGTCTTCAAACAGTACCATGTGCATGAAGTGAAATAACACAAAATCATGTGACTTGGGTCCCTCCCAGGTGGACATATGAGCAAAATACAGCACACACATGCATTGATGGATCGCCAAGGATGTCCGTGCTCCCAGCATAGTGACTGAGGTGTCAGATTGCTCTTGGTCCCTAGTTATGATCTGGCGGGACAGGGGAATCACAATGGTCAGGTGATCAGGCATTCTGTCCAACCCCCATGGTGTAAAAAAACAATTTAAAAAGATGCTGGGGCTAAGCATAAAAGGGTTTAAATAATTTAAGACCTTTATCAAAGAAACCCCTTACACCCTTCCGTTTTTACAATATTTTTGTCTTTTTAAAGCGATATTAAACCCAAAACCAAAAAATTTAATATATTGCAGCTTAGTTTTCTTTTTCCCCTCTCTGTTCTCACCTGGTCAGTAACATACCTCCTGTAAAAGAGTGCTTCCATTCTGGGTGAAGGGGTACAGGGAGCAGCTTCAGAAGCAGCATTGTCAGTCTAGGGTGAGGGGAGTGTTAGATGTATTCACGGATTTAGATACACTAATTGAAGCCAAACTCCAGCTCACACTGCAGTTTTATTTTGCGATAAACGTTTTACATATATAAAGAAAAGATGATCATTGTAAGCACCCGTCAGTGGTAAATGATTTGCCTCAAAAATCTAACTACTACATTTGCAGAAGAGCTTGTTCTATTGGCAAACAGACTTAATGGCTAGATTACCAAATGAAAATAAAAGGAAAGAAAGCCTAAAAAAAGGAAACTAATGCAGACATCACATCAAAGAACTGATACGCTACAATATATGAAATGTCTACTTTTGGGTTTAATACAGCTTTAAAATAAATGATTAGAAGACCCATCAGGTCGCCAATTAGAAGAATCATCCTCTCTATTTGTCCTGTTTACCATTAGCATTGAAAGTGGGCACAAAAGAAAATCCCACAGTTTTGGGTTGTTCCCAGAAGAGTAATAGAGGGGGAAATATTCCAATGAGGATATTAGTTCTGGTGTTTTGGGAGGGGGGGGTCAAGCAAGAGCTTTCTTAATTTGCAGGGATCTCCTCTAACTTCCTGTTTTGGCTATGGAACATTAAGTAAAGGTAAATGGGACACAGATGGCAAAAAAAGACAAAACCTGTCAGGGATTATAATCCTTCCTTACTCTATCCACAATGAAAAAAAAAAATGTGCCTATAGTTCTACTTTAGAGTTAAAAAAAAAAAAAAAAAAGAAAAAAGAAAAAAAAAAAAAAAGGTCCCATTTCCCACATTGCCCTGCAGATCACACACAACAAATGAAGATGGACAGACTTACAGTACAAAAGCAGAGAGGCTCACCTGTTCAGAGTAATCGTTGCCATCCACATCGTCACTGTTCGAATGCCCACCAGGACTTTGTACATCGATCCCATGACTCTCCAGGATTGCTGCTTCTTCGAAAAAAGCAAATATGGCCCTAAATTATATGCACTGGTAATAATACCCAACAAAAGCAAAACTTATGTTAAAAATAGCCGACGTTAAGCATGCAAATGCAGCCCCTTTACTCATATATTCTAACTAGGGAGCACAGCAAGCCAGAAGATGCAGGCTGGTTTGACCTGACAGTGGCTGGGACTGGCTTCCACTCACCCAACAAATAAAATTCAAGGTACTAACAACTTACAAAGCCATCCACAACTTGGCCCCCAGCTGCATCACTAACGTGGTCTCAAAACACCAACCAAACTGCTTTTTTCAGTCCTCCCAAGACCTCCTGCTCTGTAGTTTCCGTGTCACTTCCTCCCATGCTTGCCTCCAAGATTCTCCCATCCTATGAAATTTCCTACCCCAATCTGTCCGGCTATTTCCTAATCTATCCACCTTTAGACGATCCCTGAAAACCCTAATCTTTATTGAAGTCTATCCTGCTCATAACTAATGCACTGTGTCTTTACTGTCTCCATTAGCTCATCCCCCAGAGCTATTTGTATCACTTGACTCTTCCTCTTAGATTGTAAACTCTAACAAGCAGGGCCCTCTGGTTACTTTTGTAACAAATTGTATTGTAACTGTAATGTCTGCCTTCATTTTGTAAAGTGCTGCGTAAACTGTTGGCACTATATAAATCCTGTATAACAACAACAACGTGGATTACTATTACAAAGCACAGCCACCATGCCCTTAATTCCACCAACTGGTACCCAGTTGAGCTGCTCTTAACCTCCCATGGGCATGGATCGACACACTAAAGCAGCAATTTCCAACCAGGGTTGCATGGAACTCTAGGACTCCCTCCATAGGTTGCTAGGGATTCCTTCAGCTGTGACTTATGGACCTCCCATCTGATGGTGTCAGCATAGTTCTAGGGCCAACATCACTTGGCAATGCCAACAGCATGACATCAATGTCTGTTACGAGAGGCATTCAGACCCCCACTGTAAGGGGAACATTATTGCCACTTACCACCAATTTAAATGGCGTCCTTCCCACTGACCTCTAATGAATGAATTTTAGCAAGCATTCATTGAGACCTGAAAATGATTTTAAGGGTTTCTCTGTCATAAAGCTGAGAAAGGTGGCTGTAGAACAGAGGTCCCCAACACCCAGGCAGCAGACCTGTGCTGGTCCATGGCCTGTTGTGTGGCGAGGGGTGAGCGAGGCTTGATCTGTGTTTGCAGCTTCTCACATTGCAGCCTGGGATCCACATTTTGTCGGGTCAGGATCGCAGGCCCTGCTGTGGGCTACGCATGTGTGTGTGTGTGTGTGTGTGTGTGTGTGTGGGGGGGGGGGATCTGGGTTGCGTGCTCTTTGTGGGGTCTAGTACCTAGTGTTCTTGAGGGGAGCTGAGGCAATGGTGTTGGCACAAGAGAGCAGCTGCAATTGCAGACCATTGGCAGAGAGAAGTATGGCTGCACAGAGACTGCTACGGAGGCCCTATTGGTGAGTGGCAGGTGACAACTGGGGTGCACCACCCTCCCTTCGGTCCGTGGAGGGGATGTCTTCTGCAAGGCCAGTCCCTTGGTACCAGGGAGGTTGGGAACGCTGCTCTATAGCAGGGATCACAAAACTTTATAAGCAAAAGGCCAGTGGGAGGAATCGTGCCCCAGTATTGGCATCAGTGGGAGGAATAGTGTCCCATCATCAGTATCAGTGGGATGAATAGTGCCCCATCATCGGTATCAGTGGGAGGAATAGTGTCCCATCACTGGTATCAGTGGGAGGAATAGTGCCCCATCACTGGTATCAGTGGGAGGAATAGTGCCCCATCACTAATATCAGTGGGAGGAATAGTGCACCATCATTGGTGTCAGTGGGAGGAATAGTGCCCCATCATTGGTGTCAGTGGGGAGGAATAGTGCCCCATCATTGGTGTCAGTAAGAGGAATAGTGCCCCATCGTTGGTATCAGTGGGAGGAATAGTGCCCCATCATTGATGTCAGTGGGAGGAATAGTGCCCCATCATTGATATCAGTGGGAGGAATAGTGTCCCATCATTGATATCAGTGGGAGGAATAGTGTCCCATCATTGATATCAGTGGGAGGAATAGTGCCCCATCATTGATATCAGTGGGAGGAATAGTGCCCCATCATTGATATCAGTGGGAGGAATAGTGCCCCATCATTGATATCAGTGGGAGGAATAGTGCCCCATCATTGATATCAGTGGGAGGAATAGTGCCCCATCAATGGTATCAATGGGATGAATCGTGCCCCAGTATTGGTATCAGTGGGAGGAATCGTGCCCCATCATTGGTATCAGTGGGAGGAATAGTGCCACAGTATTGGTATCAGTGGGAGGAATAGTGTCCCATCATCGGTATTAGTGGAAGGAATAGTGTCCCATCATCGGTATCAGTAGGAGGAATAGTGTCCCATCATCGGTATCAGTGGGAGGAATAGTGTCCCATCACTGGTATCAGTGGGAGGAATAGTGCCCCATCATTGGTATCAGTGGGAGGAATAGTGTCCCATCATTAGTATCAGTGGGAGGAATAGTGTCCCATCATTAGTATCAGTGGGAGGAATAGTGACCCATCATTGGTGTCAGTGGGAGGAATAGTGACCCGTCAGTGGGAGGAATAGTGCCCCATCATTGATATCAGTGGGAGGAATAGTGCCCCATCATTGGTATCAATGGGATGAATCGTGCCCCAGTATTGGTATCAGTGGGAGGAATAGTGTCCCATCATCAGTATCAGTGGGAGGAATAGTGTCCCATCATCAGTATCAGTGGGAGGAATAGTGTCCCATCATCAGTATCAGTGGGAGGAATAGTGTCCCATCATCAGTATCAGTGGGAGGAATAGTGTCCCATCATCAGTATCAGTGGGAGGAATAGTGTCCCATCATCGGTATCAGTGGGAGGAATAGTGTCCCATCATCGGTATCAGTGGGAGGAATAGTGTCCCATCACTGGTATCAGTGGGAGGAATAGTGTCCCATCATTAGTATCAGTGGGAGGAATAGTGTCCCATCATTGGTATCAGTGGGAGGAATAGTGTCCCATCATTGGTGTCAGTGGGAGGAATAGTGACCCATCATTGGTGTCAGTGGGAGGAATAGTGACCCATCATTGGTGTCAGTGGGAGGAATAGTGACCCATCATTGGTGTCAGTGGGAGGAATAGTGCCCCATCATTGGTATCAGTGGGAGGAATAGTGCACCATCATTGGTGTCAGTGGGAGGAATAGTGCCCCATCATTGGTGTCAGTGGGAGGAATAGTGCCCCATCATTGGTGTCAGTAAGAGGAATAGTGCCCCATCGTTGGTATCAGTGGGAGGAATAGTGCCCCATCATTGATGTCAGTGGGAGGAATAGTGCCCCATCATTGATATCAGTGGGAGGAATAGTGTCCCATCATTAATATCAGTGGGAGGAATAGTGCCCCATCATTGATATCAGTGGGAGGAATAGTGCCCCATCATTGATATCAGTGGGAGGAATAGTGCCCCATCAATGGTATCAATGGGATGAATTGTGCCCCAGTATTGGTATCAGTGGGAGGAATCGTGCCCCAGTATTGGTATCAGTGGGAGGAATCGTGCCCCATCATTGGTATCAGTGGGAGGAATAGTGCCGCAGTATTGGTATCAAAGGGAGGAATAGTGCCCCATCATTGGTATCAGTGGGAGGAATAGTGCCCCATCATCGGTATCAGTGGGAGGAATAGTGTCCCATCACTGGTATCAGTGGGAGCAATAGTGTCCCATCATTAGTATCAGTGGGAGGAATAGTGTCCCATCATTAGTGTCAGTGGGAGGAATAGTGTCCCATCATTGGTGTCAGTGGGAGGAATAGTGACCCGTCAGTGGGAGGAATAGTGCCCCATCATTGATATCAGTGGGAGGAATAGTGCCCCATCATTGGTATCAATGGGATGAATCGTGCCCCAGTATTGGTATCAGTGGGAGGAATAGTGCCCCATCATTGGTATCAGTGGGAGGAATAGTGCCGCAGTATTGGTATTAGTGGGAGGAATAGTGTCCCATCATCAGTATCCGTGGGAGTAATAGTGTCCCATCATTAGTATCAGTGGGAGGAATAGTGTCCCATCATCGGTATCAGTGGGAGGAATAGTGTCCCATCATCGGTATCAGTGGGAGGAATAGTGTCCCATCATCGGTATCAGTGGGAGGAATAGTGTCCCATCACTGGTATCAGTGGGAGGAATAGTGCCCCATCATTGGTATTAATGGGAGGAGTAGTATCCCATCATTACTATCAGTGGGAGGAATAGTGTCCCATTATTGGCATCAGTGGGAGGAATAGTGTCCCATCATTGGCATCAGTGGGAGGAATAGAACCCTATCACTGGTATCAGTGGGAGGAATAGTGCCCCATCATTGGTGTCAATGGGATGAATAGTGCTTCATCTTTGATAGCAGTGGAAGGAATACTGCCCTGTTTTTGGTGTCAGTGGGAATAGTGCCTTAAAAGCCAGATAAAAGACAAGCAAAGGGCCACATCCATCCCTCGGGCCAGTTTGGAGACCACTGCTCTAGAGTATTACTGAAAAAGGGCACAGAGCTATGCTCCCCATTTGATGATAATTGGAATAGTGTACAGAAACATAGGCCTAATTCTGCACACAAAAGTGCAAACAAGAGTGAATCTGCATGAACAAGGTATGTTAAGGTCGCTTTGTTAAGTGGTCATGGCCATAAAAACTCATCTCCCTTAGGAGATTTAGGAACATGGTCCTCTTTGAAGAAAAAAAAAAAAAAAAAAGAAATAACTGATGATTAAAAAAAGAAAAAAAAAAAAAAAAAAGATCCCTTTAAGTGAGTCACAATATCAGCAAACTGACAGACACAATGCTAAATCTGCTAAATTATGCTAATCTGGGGCTAAATTTGTTACTGGCTTTACTAATTAGAATTCTGACGCATAGGTATTGTCTAATTACATATATGCACAAGAACATGTATACCCCATATTCCGATGACAACTGCATACGACAAAGGAATGCATGCATGGGCAACACATTCGTTTAATACCCACACTACAGGTTTATCCCCCTCGGCTATTGCTCTCTCTGCGTTAACATTAAGCTCTAGTTGGCCATCACCAGCAATTAAAATCCTTGTGATCTGTCTCTAGCAAACATGAAGCAATATTGGACAGCCTCTGAAGGCCATGGCAACAATACAGTAAAATATTGCTATTACAAGTGAAGGTCTATTTCAGGATCCCAGGTGGTGTTCAAAAATTAGCCACAAGGGCATCTTTAAATTGAGACGAGACATTTGCTACCTGTGGCTCACAAGTGATGCTTGAAGCTGAGAGCTTTGCTTGCATTTCATCAAGATGCCTATTGCCAGGCTGTATTAAAGATGTGATGGCAATATCTCAGAGTAACAATTCAGGGTCATGCACCGGGCAATGCAAAATTAGCTTGGTGTGTAAACCTGGATGTTATCCAAAAGGCTACGTCATGGTTGGCCCTGGATGTGCACAGCAAAGGAACTTAAAGAGTTAGTTCACCTTAATAAAAAAATAAATAAAAGCCTGCTTAAGCAGAGAAGGGGCATCTGTAGATTAAAACAAACTGTGCATCTCTGACTAAAGTTGAATTATGCCCTTGTTATAGGTGTAGGCCATTTATAAACCTCCTGAAGCCTGACTGATACACTCCCAGGATGCTGCTAAACTGAAAATAGGCAAGTTATGACAGCACTGCGCAATTTTAACATTTTAAAATATCAACATACACTGATCAGCCATAACATTATAACCACCCATTTAACATTGAGTACATTCCAGGGGCAGACTGATCATTAGAGCACTCGGACACTGCCCGGGGTCAGTAGGTGGCCCCATGAGATGCCCCTGGTACCTTTCATTGTCTTTTTTGGGTGTGGGCGAGGACACAGGGGCCCCATGATCCCCTATTGCCCGGGGGCCCCATGAGTTGTCAGTCCGCCCCTGGTAGATTCCCCTCTTGCCACTAAGAAAGCCCTGACCCATCAACCACTAGACCTCTGAAGGTATGCTGTGGTATCAAGCTGTAAATAGCAGGTCACTGCCTCCCCCAGCTTGCCTTCTTGCCATAATGCATCCTGGTGCCATTTCTTCTCCAGGTAAGTGACGCACACACACCCGGACATCCATATGATGCAAAAGAAAACGTGATTTATCACACCAGACCGCATTCTTTCATTGCACCATGGTCCAGTTCTGATGCTCATGTGCCCATTGTAGGTGCTTTTGGCTGTGGACATGGGTCAGCATGGGCACCCTGACTGGTATGCGGCTACACAACCCCATACACAACTAACTGATGCACTGTGTGTTTTGACACCTATCGGAGCCGGCATTAACTTCTTCAGCCATTTGAGCTGCAGGAGTTCTTCTACTGGATCAGACTGCACGAGTCAGACTTCGCTCCCCATGACCCCATTATCGGTTTTCTTTCCTTGGACCACTTATGGTCGGTCCTGACCGCTGCAGACCGGGAACATCCCACAAGAGTTGAGGTTTCAGAGTTGCTCTGACCCAGTTGTCTAGTCAATACAATCTGGCCCTTGTCGAAGTTGCTCAAATCCTTATGCTTGTCCATTTTTTCTGCTTTCAACACATCAACTTCAGGGACAACATACCTACTTGCTAATTAATATATCCCACTGACTGTGAAAATGTGGAATAGACTCCCTCAAGAGTTGATTCTAGCCAGCTCAGTGGATTGCTTTAAAAAAGTCCTGCATTTTTTCTTCGATACACAGAATATAACTGGATAGAACATGTATAGGTAAAGTTGATCCAGGGAATATCCGATTGCCTCTCGGGGGATCAGAAAGGAATTTTTACCCCAGCAGGAGCAAAGTGGATCATGCTTTGCTGGGTTTTTTTTGCCTTCCTCTGGATCAACTGTAGGTATAGGATTATAACTTCTTTTCTTTTTTAATGGCTGAACTGGATGGAGTTTTGTCTTTTTTTCAGCCAGACTAACTATATAACTATGTGACTTTCAGGAGGCATTAACAAGAAAATAAATGTTATTCACTTTACCTGTCAGCGTTTGTAATGTTATATAGCTGATCAGTGTACATATCTGAACTACATGGCGACTGAAGCTTCAGTTCTGCCTTAAAGGGTGAAAATTTAATTACAAAATGGCTGCATGCACTACGTGGGCCATAGTGACATTTTAACAAGCTTTTGTCCTCAAGATGGAAGGTCAAAACAAATACAGTAGGTGTGTGAATGGCCTTCCAGCTGATGGTCAGCATGGCTGTGCTCTGGGACATTACCAATATTAGCTCTTCTTTTGATTTCCTTCCGCCTGTTGGCAAACCAGTTGTAGACTTTCAAGGAGGTAACTCGCTCCAAATCTGAAAGTTTCTTGCCTGCAATGAAAAAAGTGAGCTTAGTGGATGGAAGAGTGAGGAACATATAGCGGGGTCTTAGATGTTACTGAAAGTATATCGCTGTATAAAGTACTAAAGTATAGGTTCTCTCCAGCACTCTTTTCATGCCCACGGCAATGGAAGAAGTTATCATTTGCTGCCCATGTAATGTCCTGAAACTACATGTCCCATAATGCTTTAGGACTTGTGTACCTTAAAAGTGGTTCTGGGTGTTACTGTGGGTGGGGCTTATGAAGTAGGCATTACTTGCAGTCTCAAGTATGGTACAAGCAGGGCTTGGGAAGGAGGTATGATTGGGCGGGATTGAATACTAATTGCAATCCATTCAATCCTGCCCAGCCTCAAGGACCACAGAACAGAGTCTAAACATTACTACCCTGGACAAGAAGCGGCTTTGTGGCACTTATTATCTCACGATTAGAAGTTGGGCATTCTTTAGAAGGGGGAAGTAATACTCATTTTACAAATATGGACAGGCTGGTGACATAGGAAGAAAATGAACTCCAGGGCAAATTATAAGAGGTATTTGAAACAGCAGAAAACCCAAAAGCAAACATTATATTGTATCTCACCAATTCTTAGATTTGCTAGCTGCACTAGTTTCCTTTTTTAAGCTGTCTTTCCTTTATATTCACCTAGTGATCTAGCCACTAAGTTTGTTTTTCAACAGAACAAGGTCTCCTGCAGAGGCAGCACTTACAGGGATGAGACAAAGCATTTACTACTGACAGGGGGTGTTTGCAATGATCAGCTTTTATTTATATAAAACTTTTCTTCCAAAAATAACAAAACTATTACTTTTTGTGTGAGATGGAGTTTGGCTTCAATTTGTCAGTGCATGTAAATCTGCGAGTGCATCTAACACTCCCCTCCCCCCAGACTGACAATGCTGCTGTTCAAAGGTGCCCCTTTGCTCCTTCATCCAGAGTGGGGGTACTCTAATACAGGAGGTGTGTTACTCGCCAAAGCACCAGATGAAAACAGAGGGGAACAATCCTAAAAAGAAAACTTATGCAGGCACCACATCTAATGATTGGTAAGCTGCAATATATGAGATTTTTGGTTTTGGGTTTAATGCCGCTTTAAGAACGCATTCATAATTTTAGCTACAAAGCCGACACTCTGTTGTACAACAAAAACAATCTTAGGATGCTATTTGAACTTAAAAAAAACTTCAGGATGCAAACAGATAAAATAGATTTTTCAAACACCTGTATGCTTTTAAATGCAAAGTATTGTCTTGTTAACCTTGAAAAAGTGTAATCACAGTGAAGAGGCCACAGAAACATCTACTTGCACCTCTCACAGGTCCCTGCCAGAAGCATCTTGGCATCGGGCTGAATTTAAGCTGGTTGGCTTCCTACCAAGAGCTTTAATAGGAGAATGAATTATGGTTCCGACATAAATTATGTAGATCGTTGTGATTTTACATAACATTTCAAGGTCCTTGCTGAATAATATGGAACTATGACAAACAAAACATCATTTTGCATGGATTTCTGGAGTGTGAACCTGGTGGTGGGGCAAAAAGCATCTCCATGGGTCACTTGTGGAAATCCCTACTGGCTCCATTCCAGTTTGGATTCATCAATCAACAGTTTTGCTGATCATATTTCACTACCAAATAGAAACTCTACTCAAAGTGAGTATGGGTTTATCAGGGCAGGTTTGTCATGGAGGGGTCTTCAGGGTCTGGGTGACACAGGAATGGACCACAGCCCTGGACCTGCATAGTGCCATGAAGCCAATTACACTCATTGCACCACCACCAAGGCAAGTGGTAAATGCAGGATCCAGTGCCTAATGCAGAATCCAGTGTCTGAAGCAAACATGACAAGTCAGCCTTTGGACTTCGGGGTCTAAGTACGGATTTCCAAGGTGTGCTTGAGGGGCACTTATCTGGAAACTTCAAGCTGCTGCGTCTTAACAGACATGAATGGGACTGCCTGCCATGGCGAAGCATGGCCCTCGCACAGATGTACGCTTAAATAGATACTAAAGCTAAAAACGTTGCGGTACAGAGCTCAAAATGGACAGCATACTCCAGTATGCCATCCGTTCAGAACAAAGTGCGCATGCGATGGCACTGGCCTCTACAAATGTGAATATCTCCAAACTGTACACTTTTAGGAGATATTCAATGTACCTATAGGTAAGCCTTATTATAGGCTTACCTGTAGGTACAAGTCATGAAGTGGACTTTACTACCACTATAAGAAGAAAACTGAAAAAATTAAAGTAGTAGTAAAGCCGAACACCAACTATTTCTTCAGGCCTCCTACCCATCTTGCATACCCTATATTAAAAAAAGTTTTGTATACTTCCCTTTTTTTAATCAAGTCTGATCATGTGATTCTGTAGCTCCAGCTCCCCTGTGTAAGGGAGTGCTCAACAGAAGCTGTGAATTCTCAGAGGTGTGACGTCACCCATAGCTCAGCCGTTGTTGGCGCTCCTTCCACTTTTTCTGAGTATCGCATTCTGTCCATAATGTAGCCGCTTCTTGTGAATCCCTTTTCACAAATTTCTTTTTTGGTCTGCTCCTTCCACTCCCCTGCAGCAACTGCTCTCTATTACAAGGGAGCTGGAACTGCAGGCTCACATGACGAGACCAGATTAAAAGCGAGTACACGTTTATATACAGGGTATGCAGTAGATGTAGGAGTAGGGAATGTTTTTAAGAATAATTAGAATTAGCCTTTTCTTCTACTTTAAGTGCTGACTACAGGTGATAGTATGATTGTGTAAGAGTATTTCTTCCCATCTTACCAGCACTAAAACAGTCCCATTCCATCAAGTCTCCCCTTGATCCAAACATTTCAACTTAGGCTGGCCGTATATTAAGCTTTTTTTCGTTCCTTCAATCATGAGTTGAAGGAAAGAAAATCGCTCGATTCCGCCATCAACATATTCAGTGCTGAATCCCACTGCACCATTGTATTCAGATAGCGGGAGGTTTCCCTGCCTTCAGAATAAAATGATTTCTGGTGCCAGCTACAGCCAGCGGCAGTAAATGAAGGAAAAAACCTGTCTGGCTGTACTGAAGTCAACCAATAGATTGATTTCAGTACAACCAACCTGCCCATAGATGGATCGAAATTTGTCAGGTTCCTGCTGAATCAGATGAATTTCGATTCATCTACGGCCAGCTTTACACTCATCCACCCATATTTGTTTCCAATGTTCTTTTGCCTATTTTAAGCTTTTTTAAATGACCAGCTTTAGATATGACTTATTCAACTTTGCCATTAAGGCCAGCATCCAACGTTCATCTATACACTTTTGCAGAAATTGGTTGACACCAACGGAGGGTCTGTTTCTCAAACTTCAGATTCTGATGTACTTCTCCTCCTGTGAAACTGTACACTTGAGTCTCCCACCTTTTTCTATACTGAATAAATCTTCTCTGAAGACAGCAGTGGACACCTTGTAATCATCAGTCTTTTGGCATGCTTACGCATGGTATAACTCATTTCCACCAAAAAATAGCTCACCAGAGAATCAAATTGTTCTATTTCATTGCGGTCTATATTTGAACTGAAAAATTAATTTATGGAATAAAAATACCTTGTAACCCACGGAAAAACAATAAAAAAGTAACGGATGTGCAAGCGCAAATATAAAGGTTTCTGGGATGACTGATTATTTAAACATGATTATTGAAATAAATGGGGCATTACAGTCATATGTGAATACTCAATTATAAATCAGTAATGGCCATTTGTTAGATAAGTTACGTCTTGGCTAGATTTCTATATTAATTCAATGGCAACAGGAAAAATGGCTTTTTAAGTAATTTCTAAGGGATTTCAAAACTTCTGAACAGTATAGAGAGATATGAACAGCAGAGATCAAACGATGCAGACATATCACACTCACCTGGTTTCTGTATGACTGCATTGCACGCATTGGCAATTTCCTCTCGCTTGGCCTCATCTGGATACTGGTTTTCATTAAAATAGCTGGAAAATGCAAGTGTTCATAGTTAGCGTTATCTTCTCTGTATGGGCAGAACAGCTATTGCTTCTTGTGTTTATGTTTATCAATAAACACTAATAAGAACTCCACCGCCAGCACCCAATGCCCCCAGTACATAGGCACACTGTGATATGGACTATGCCCAGGGGCGGACTGACCATTTGGAAACTCGGGCACTGCCTGAGGGCCCGCGGTCAGTAGGGGGCCCCATGAGATGCCCCTGGTACCTTTTTCATAGGATTTTTTGAGTTTGGGCAAGGACACAGGGGCCCCGTGATCCCCTATTGCCCAGGGGCCCCATGAATTGTCAGTCTGCCCCTGACTTTGCCCATTATAGTACAGCTTCTATGAATGGGGGAGGGGCAAAAAAGATGGGGATAGTCAGTACTTTTGATGAGTGCATATGACTGGTCCCCAGACTATGGCTGTGGGGTTAGGTGGGAATGAGAGGACTGAAGATTTTAATGAAAGCAGCAGCCACCAGCAGAAGGCATACATTGCGGTGACTGTAAATAAAGTCTCTGGGCAAGCATGTCACCGATTGCTAGGAAGCTGGTGGTCCAAGCAACCAATGACAAGGATGAAAACAGTGCAGCAGGTCGGCCCCTGCCAAGCTGAAATTTTAAAGTGACTGTAAAGGCTCAACGATTTTTGCCTTCATGCATTCTATGCATAAAGGTAAAAAACCTTATGTGTGCAGCATCCGCCCCTCCCCCCTTAATAGTCAACTAAGTCCCTTTTCGATCCAGAGATGTACACTGGAGTATTGGTTATCCCGGAACTCCCTCTCCTCATTGGCTAAGCCACTGGCTCCCGCTGCTGTCAATCACAGCCACTGAGCCAATGAGAAGAGAGAGAGGGTGGCTGGGCCGAGCCGTAGCTCCGTGTGTGAATGGACACACAGAGCAGCAACTGGGGGGGGGTGCGCGTATGTTCGGGTGCCCTCATAGCAAGCTGCTTGCTGTGGGAGCACCTGACAGGAGGGAGGGGCCAGGAGTGCAAGCAGGGGACAGGAGAAGAGGAGGATCCAGGCTGCTCTGTGCACAACCACTGCACACAACAGTTAAATATAGACATGTTTGTTATTTTTGTACAAAAAAATTAAAATGTTAGAATCACTAAGTCACATTTACAATACACCACTGACCCGAGTGCCAGATAGAATCTTGCAATGGCCTGGGGACTGCAGTTTGGAGAGCTCCGCTCTAGGAAGTCCCTAACCGTCAAATGGCCTTGAACAGGGAAGGTATTGGACAATCTCCCAGTGAGCAAGCAGCAATCTTCAGTAGAGCTGAGGGAACAAGCTCCAAAGCAGGAGGGAAGGAATGGAATACCGCAGGATTTGTCATTGTCACCATGTGGTGCAGAACGTAGTAGATCCTGATGCTCTCAAGACTTGCTCCAGTGTGAGTAGATCTCTCCTTGCAGATTGCACTCAGGAAAATACAGTTCTGGCCACCCATGAAGAGTAAGTCCAACAACTGAGGTTTACATTTATTTAAAATCGGTAAAGAGTCAAACCATACAATTATTGCTTTGATCTCTCAGGGACTTTGGTGATGAGACCCTTGATGGTGTTCCAAGGTCTTCACACCTGAAATGACCAATGCTAGCAGGACCACAATCCTTGTTGAACATGTACTTTTTATAATCAGCCAGAAAACAAAAGTAGGACTGAAACACCCAAAACGCCAAGGTGGGTAAGAAAAGGAAAAGCGAGGAACAATGATGAGGAGATCTCATCACTGAACTCATAGGAACTCATGCTGCAAATAAGGACCTATATTGACAATTGATTCTCACCCCACACAAACCAATGTGAAAGCAAAAGAAACTTGAAAAGGGGCTGATGTAGGAATTCATATCTGGGTGAGAAGGAGGTCAAGCGCAGGTCCGATGTACCCGCTAAACTCTGATGTCTGATCCCAGACGTATCTCAAACTGATGTCAAATTCAGGTAGAAAGGTCGATGCATTTGCCAATCAAGAAAAGCTCAAAGCTAATTAACACAATGCCTTAGGACACGTGTCAAACACAGTGCCTCCTATCCAAATTTGGCCCGCCAGGCCATTATGTGGCCCTCACACCTCTCCTGCAGCTACAGTACCCTCCTACCTTATCTCAGCAGTTGGCATCACAGAGGATGACAAAACTCCTCCAAGGTAAGGGGGTGCAGTGTGATGTTGTGATGTATGGGAGGGTGGGGGACACTTTACTTCTAATAGTGGGGGGGGGGGGGGGGGGGGGGGGGAGTGGCCTTGACATCCGATGTGGGATGGGGGGGCAGGGAGTACGCTGGACATCTAGTCTTACAGATACCACTGGCCCTTTGAAGGCAACCATAATGCTGATGTGGCTCGCAATGAAACTGAGTTTGACACCCCTGCCCTAAGACAAACTATAGCAACATTAGGACTGCTGTACTGATGTAGCCAATGTGAGGGTTTCCATACTTATACATACCCCTATGCAACCTCTTCATATCAGAACCCATTTAAAGAACCCTATTACAAAAAATTGATGAAAAAGGAAAGCTCCCTGGGCATACAAGGATGATCTTTCCTCCCTGGGTGCATTCAAGGTCTGTCAGGAATGAGTTATCTCCATATCAGCTATGCCGCAATGTATGCACAGCTAAATTGGATCCAGCAACTTTAAGATCAAGGTATAATATTATTATAGCAGACACTTGGCCCCCGTCCACAGTACATACAAAGCTGAAAAACAGCATCTGAGGCTTCTGGAACGGCAACAATCAATAGGAGACGGCAGGATGGGATAAACCAATCAGAAAATTATTGATAGCATAAGTCTTCTGAACAAAGTGCTCATCCTGGTGCAGTTTACATTTCAAGACTAGAGATATTAGTAACAAGGGAAAACCAGTTAAATTAGTTGTGTAGCAAATACTCCCCCCCCCCTATTTTTATTAATACATTAAAAAAAAAAAAAACTTCGTTCGTGGCAGGGTGTTGACAGGCTGGATCACCAATGGTCTCTTAGAGACTCCTGTAGCAATATATCCCAGTTCCAGGACCACCGACAATGTGCGCCCATTGTGAGGAATATGCTGCTCATCCTCCAGTCATCCACTAAGGATTTAAACTATTTGGGGCGGGTTCTGACCCTTTAACGGTATCTCAATCTCATTAAATCTGACCTCTAGCCTTCCCTTTAGTCTTGCAAAGTCTCCTCTCCTGTAATAAAAATAGTTTACTCTGATACCATTTCACACTGAGCTTCTCACAATGTGCTTGAGAAACTGGAAGTCAGAAAAAGCCCATTTAATTTCCTGGCTGGAGGATGTTCAGCATCGTCTAGTCCAATACTGGTCAAATGGAAAAAATTACAGAAGGCCTCAAGTGCACTCCCTGACACTTCCAGAGTACAATAGCAGCACATTTTTTCATGCCTCAACACAAAAATTTAGGTCCTTCTGCATTTTTTGCAGTGTGCCTCAATGTAATCTAAAAAAGTTGGGAATACAATAATCTTCAGAATTGGTGTCAGTGGCCACAATGCTAAACTCCAACATTGGTGTCATTAATGTTGACACACATTGATGGTGGTTAAAGTTACTTTTCAACGCACACCAGATTGGTGGCTATGACATTGAGTGTTTACCCCTACCCTACTCCTCCCACCCCCATTTGGGGGCCATGGCAACCTGCCTATCCCCCCTACCCTGTATTGGTGGTCACGGCTGTAAAAGTTAATTCTCTCCCCCTCTGTACTGGTGGTCATGGTACTGAAAGCTAACCCCCCCATATTGGAGGTCATAACAGTGAAAGTGTTAACTCCTTTATGTTGGTGGTTACAGCAGTGAAAGTGTTAACACCCCCCCCCCCCCCCCCCATTACCACCGTACTGGTGGTCATGGCATTGAAACTTAACCCCCCTATATTTGTGGTCATAGTTGGGAAAGTGTTAACCCCTCCCCACTGTTGATCACTTACCCATCACCCACACTTGCACCCCCTCCGCCCCCCCAGGCCAGGACTTTAATTGTACTGTGAGCAGAGATAACTCCGCCCACAGTATAGTCCAGGGGTAGGCAACCTGCGGCTCTCTAGCTGTTGTGGAACTACATTTCCCATGAAGCATTGCAACATTACAAAACTGACAGTTACAGCTATGATTTGCAGAGGCATGATGGAACTTGTAGTCCTGCAACAGCTGGAGAGCCGCAGGTAGCCTACCCCTGGTATAGTCTCTCTCTTTCAGTGCTGGAACAAAGCGAGCATTCCAGTTCTCGGCACCCAGCTGCCACTCCGCAATCTGACTGATGCCCAACATCTGCATCTAGATGACCGCCAGGCCCTGTGTTCAGAACCAGGGGTCTAGTAATTTCCTCCTCAGCTATACTGTTCCTGTCCCCTTTTAATCATACAGGATCAGCATCACATGTGGATGTTAGTCAAGATTCCTATTTAAGGAAAATGTATACACCGCCCTGCTTGCTCTTCCCACCAGCCATGATCTACCTGCACTACATAGAGAAGCATAGAAACCCAGTAATGACATCAGTGGGTCTAAAATAAGGTATGTAATTAAAATGGAAAGGATTTATTTAATAACATCATTAGCGTGTTGCTGATGGAAAGGAAAGATGGACACCGCTTAACCGACCCCAGAAGTCAAATGCATGAATGGCTTGGCCTCAACCACCATTCCAGCCAAGTCCTCTGACGTGCTTAGCCCGGCCACCAGGGCTTGATCACAGAGTTTGTAATCAAGGCCCAATGGGTGGGGGGCGAAACGTATCACAGGGGCATGTTTTGAGCAGTGGCTGAGGCCAAGCTATTCATGCGTCTGACTCCTGGGGTCAGTTGTGCGGTATCCATCTTTCCTTTCCATCAGCTACACTGGAACAGCTTTAAGACACCTACTCCCTGTCTTTGCTGGCGGGGTGATTTTTTTTCTCATCATCCAGCTTAGAGTGGTGCCATAAGACATTTTCACAGTCAGTGTGTTGATAAGAGGG